AAAAATAATTTAACATCTTTGAATCACACACATGCGGTTATCAAATGTGCACGTGATGTAGGTACTCTTTCAGCATCAAGATAATGCATTTGAAAGCTTTTACAACTCCAAATTCATGTGTAAAGAATAATTTTGGGTACATTTTGTTCTAAAGCTTATAGTGAATTATTACACTTCTAAGAGGCATAGGGAATAATCTAGCGAAAGTCCGAACTCGATACATAACATAGGGAATGAAACTTTACATACAGTTACATATTATGTACAATTACTTAGATACGTTAAATAATTAAGTCTTTACACTATGGTTAAATCTACAGCTGTTTGAATTCGTGCATCTTATGTTAGGTGTTCTGCAATTTTGTGCATGCATTATATCTATAATTGTGTAGGTATTACTGGTTCTCTTAAAGACTTATTCTATCGGACATACCGGCAAGAACTAAACTCAAACAATTGAGTCTGAAGCCCCCGTTTGCGCTTTCATTTTCGTGCGTGAAGTCAGCTGACCATTTCGAATTGCCCATAATTTTCGAATGATTGGTTTTGCTGACATTTGTTATACGGTACAAACGAGCACAAACGAAGCACAAACGATTGCAATTAAACCCGTCGTTTGTGCTTTAATTTCGTGCGTGAAGTCAGCTGACCATTTTGAATTGTCCATAATTTTTGTATGGTTGGTTTTGCTGACTTACTTTATACGGCACAAACGAGCACAAACGAAGCACAAACGATTGCGATTAAACCCGTCGTTTGTGCTTTAATTTCGTGCGTGAAGTCAGCTGACCATTTTGAATTGTCCATAATTGTTGTATGGTTGGTTTTGCTGACTTACTTTATAAGGCACAAACGAGCACAAACGAAGCACAAACGATTGCAATTAAACCCGTCGTTTGTGCTTTAATTTCGTGCGTGAAGTCAGCTGACCATTTTGAATTGTCCATAATTTTTGTATGGTTGGTTTTGCTGACTTACCTTATACGGCACAAACGAGCACAAACGAGGCACAAACGATTAAACCTAAATCCGTTGTTTGTGCTTTTCATGGTCAGCTCACTTCACGGACCCGCAATATACAGGGTGTTCCATTTTCTTTGTCACCCTGTATAAAAAAATGACGGCTTTTAGGCCATGCCTATATTTGTATTTTCTTTTTATTTTGACGAGTATCACCCCCTGATATATCTGCATGACATTATTTAATACCCTATATAGAGGCAATGTCCCGCTAATTCCAATTCAGAGGAATTGAACATTAGGTCACCTATTTGTAGGTTAATGTGTTCTCACATTTTTTTTGAAAAGCAAAGTTGTACAAAAATGCTACAAAGTTTTTTGAAGGGATAACGCTTCTGCTATTTATGAATATGCTTCCCGTGTACGGATTTTTACATCTTTGGTCCGACAGTCATTAAACAAGAGTAATTTTTGCGCCCCTTCTTGTCTGCGGCGTAAGCGACGGGTTACACCGCTTACGCCTAAAGCCGGCCCTGCTCCGGATGCGGCAGTTAAGGGAGAGAGCTCCGCCAAAGTAGCGCGACCCAGTTCAGTTGCGACGGAAGGGACCCAATCCCCCGCTATCAATCTCCAAGGTGCGTCGGGATTGCTACCGACGCCCACAGAGCGCGACGAAGGTGTCGACGAGCTTTTTGATGGATTTTCGCCAGGGAGTCGCGCTGGAAGCGTTCCTAGATATCGAGGATGCGTTTAGCAACACCAGACGCGCTCCTCCGAATTAAACGATTGGGACCAGTGGAAGGATTGAAGCAGTCTTGTACACGGGCGGATCTGAGAGGAAATCCTCAGGTTCGATCCCCTCCTCGCAAGAAGGGATGTGATCCGTAGTAAGACCAAAAAGTAATAGTCACCCTGTTCCTTTGTTCATGTGGTTTACATACGGGTCCCTAACGGGGAACGGACATGGGCATATTGGTGATCGAGCTAGAGCCGACATCACTTTCTCTTTTGGTCAGCATAGCACCGACTGAAATCTAAAAGTTCATTCATGTTTTATTTTTATCGCATATTCGAATAGGTGAATGAACGCTATTGTTCGCACTTTGTCCGTCTGTCCGTTTTTACCACTGCTAATCCTCCAGTTTAATCTTTTTCGTTGTGGTTTCGTTCTTATACGATGTAGCACAGCCCCGGAGACCAGAACGACAAACGATTTTTTGGATTAATCACTTCCTTCCCGAAAATGTTATGTACGTATGTTTACGTCTTTGTAATATCGGTAATAACATGCTATTGGAAAATGGAGTTTCAACCATTTATGTTTTGATATGATCATGCTCCAGCTAGATATCTGTATTACAATGTCATGTTCATCTTTATTTACAGAATTTTACAGGAAAAGCGTCTCTAACACGTTTATTCGTCACGTAATGACTGACTAAATTATCATTAACAATATCAACACTAAAGTCATGGTATTATAAACACTTTTCGTCAAATAAGACTTTTACAATATCTGGTTAAATTAAGAACTCTTTGAATTGTTATTTTATTGGTATTTTGATCAAAGGTACTTGCACTGCACATTCGTATAACTAAAAACTACATTTACCATATGCATGTAATCAGTTTGTTCGGGACACTTTACATATTAAAATACTATCGGCCGATATGGTAAATGACGCTGCCCAATTCTACGCTCTATGGGAAGGAATAGTGGTGGTTACGCATTGTCACTTGTACAAATGGAATTTACCTGTTACAAATGAAGAATGGCCATACGGAGAGATATGTCTTTGGACGCTGCGTAGATGAGGTACTGTAAAACTTCTATGGCGAATTACACTAGAAGGTAAAGAAAAGGTTTGAAGTTGTCCAAAGCCATTGGACGACGAAGAATATGAGAATGAACCTGGTTTCCTTATCGTTTGGGTGGTACGATGTTGCACATGCGTTGGAGATCTTATTGTGTGATGTTGTACAAAGTTTAGGGGTGTAGAATGACTATAACTATTTAATCTATATTGTATTGACACCGCATCATCCGGTTGATGTGTTGCCGAGGGTGCCTAAAAGAAGAATATCAAAACTCCTGTGCATGTGTTTAATTCAACCCACATTTCGAATAAGCTCCTCTGAAAACAAACAGAGTTAAAAGATAATTTACTGACGCACGGCACTTACGATTCAGGGGAGACTTCGCAAAAATTCCCTGTAATCAACGTACAATTATAATTTAATCCTTTTGTTAAATGTGCACTACGAACCAACAGTGAAGATGTGAGCAACACGCTGCTTAACAGTTGGGCCATGATGGTTTTGTCGGTACCGAAGATACAAAGTGCGCCAAATTACTCAAAGTACTCTGTATTTAAATTAGGTTTCGACGACGGAGGTGTAACACAATTATGCATGAAAAATGACTAATTTAACGCTCGAATTCCGAACAAGACGCAAAGTGCGTGGGGACAGCGTTATTAACATTTCGATATCAGCTTCGCGGTGCATAAGTGCTGCGAAATTTATATTTCTAATTATTCGTCACAAAAGCAGTGCAGAGGGTATTACTCGAATCTTGATGATTGATTATTACAAACAATCGTAATTATTCAATTTGACGCTTCAAATGATTAATGAGGTGAAAAACATTGATTAAGCAGCTGTACTAAAATTAACACCTTCAAAGGCGTTCCAACCTTGAAATTATGATTGTTAGAAGGAATAAAGGCAAAATACGACATGAAACTGTAACCACTACTACTTGAAGACTTCTTTGCCACACTCAAAGCAAACAAAGCTTTAAGGATAGACTCCTACATTTGGGGAACCGTATATCATAATGATCGTAAAATGTCATAAATACATGGAGTAATTTTGGTAAAAAGACACAAAATTGGAAAATGTATTAAATTGTTATTGTAATTTTAGGTTTTGTGTTTAATTGTAAATTTAATATTTATTTAAGTCATGTAAGTTTATTCGTTGAATATCATAAATTTTAGTGTTGTGTGGTAAATTACCTTTGCAGTGGCAATTTACTGAACTCGTGGGGTCCACAATCCCACTGTGATAATTTGCGGCTATCACCAAAAAAATAATGTACTTTACATTGATTTGTAGAACTTTGCGGCGTCTAACCAAAATAAAACAAATAGGTAGCGTAATAACAATTTACGACATTTAATTAACAAGAAATATATACATTGAGGTGAACAAAAAAGTGCTTACTGTTCAGCAGTTCGAAACCGACTCTGCTTCATTTAGGGATACTTGTCCCTGAAATCTTAAAACTACCGTTAGGCCTTGTCGAAATACCAAGAAGGTCTCTTCTAAATAAAATACTAGGAAATTCTCAACAACTAAAAGGTCTTTTGTGAAAATACTAAGAAATTCTCAACATTTAGAATAATAAGGGAATATTAATCGTAATTTCGACGTATTAGATAAAAATCTTATCTGGTCATATGTTTTGTAAAAGAGTTATCGAACAAATTAATTGCCTTCATTTACTAACAACGCCATGTGAGAGATAACGACGCGGTGTTTCGAGTCTCAGCGGAAAACTACGAGGTTGAACGGATCAGTGGAGGCGGCATGAGTACAAACAAGAAGAAAAAACGATACTGAATAGCTTAAGGCGGCTGTCTCGCCGTAATTCTGTTTGTGGGTGGATTAAAAGAAGTGTATGCAATGTTGCGTTATATTCATTACGAGCTGATTCGTCGATTCCGTTTGAAACTTACACATACGATTCCTTAGTTAAAAGGTCAGTCAGTTAACCTCATACACCAAGTCATTGAATTACCCAGTTTGTGTGTTAAACAAAAATGTTAAAGCTGTCAGCTTTATGTAAAGTGTTTGTTTTGTCGTGCACCGTTTTCCCATTGTCTGGACCTGTAAATTTGGATATTAATTTGACTTTATCTGTGAAATCGCTTGAATTGTTTTGTTTTTTTATTTGTCGGGTTGTGTTTATGATAAAAAAGGCGTTGTTAGCCTTAATTTTTTTCGTACAGGTTTGGTATTTGATTTTTTTACCATGCTGTGCCTTAGAATAAATTCTTGTTATTAATCAATTGTGTGTCAATTTGAGTCCCTATTGGAGATTCAGGTAAAGCTTAATTTTTACTATTCGATATTACAAATTTCTTTTAATCGGACCATTAATTGAAAATTGAAATTGAAAACTGTAGGAGTAGTGAAGACGTCGGATAGACGGACGGACAGAGAAAGTGACTGCAATAGCGCACCCAACTTCAGGTTTCTCACAGCGACGTCGGAAGTATGGGTCAGAGCTCAGTTTTTACACAAGGAGGGCCGCGCCCCCTCTAAGAATGAGTAGATAAATCATTCAAAAGCGACTAACACATCTTCTACTGCATGTGCATGCAGAAATTACAAAAAGTGTAGAAGTAGAGGATATATTGAAAGCCAGCAAAACTGCGGAAATGCGGAAAATTTTTGGATATATTAATTTTTTATACTTGCTTTTCTTTACAATGCTCAATAGTACAATAAATAGGAACACAATTTTTGTAACTTTTGTATGTTCAGTTCAGTCAAGTATCTCCGAGTTGCTCAGTTGCATATCACTAGACATCCTCCAACACTTTTTTAAAATTTTTTCAAAACTTTTCTTTCAAAAATACATTATTTGATTGATTAAATAAACAGGTTTCCGATATTCACTTCCGACGTCGCTGGATTCTCAGGATATTAAAATAATGAGTTTTTACTAAGAATTCAACAAAAAGGTAATGGACGGGCGATTGGACGCTATGGCTACTTTCTCGTTACTGAGAAAATTCGCTAAAAATCGAAATGTAGCTCAAGGTCAGTGTAATAGGTTGTTTTCAATTACAATTGATAGGTACGTGCACAACCTTCTAATGAATGTACCGCAATGCTCAATCATTTTAATCATTTTATCAGTATAGGTAGTGCTAATTAAACTGATAAGAAGTCGTAAACCTGCCCCACAGTTTTGTTCTGTTGCAATCAGTTTGCGATCTTATAGAAGAAAATAGTAATTGACACCGATCAACAAGTTTTTTTCTTTAATGCGAGAAGCTTACGATCAGTCTGTCTAAGAGTTTTTGGAAGAAAATGGTAGGTGGCAGATGCGTTAGTGGCATGGTTGCAAAAAATGCGTAAATATAGTAAACAAGCTCGTGGGTATGGTTATAGCTTGGCATTGCGTATTATATGGCGAAAGCTATTGAATTTCACGCAATTCGGTTCATAACTAACGGAGATCTCAAAAGCGTCTTCCCTATCTTTAGACCTACAGTGCCTTTTCACAAACTCCTTTTTACAAATTTAATAGAGAATCGACTCGTTTTTGAGATATCGTACCAACGGACAGACAGACAGACATCGCAAAGTTATGAACTCGCCACGAGCTCGTTAATAATGGATAAACCGTGAGAAATCTTCCCATTCTCATACCCCAAAATGCATCACAGTGACTTTCCCCTGCATTACAGTACGTACAAAGTATCTATCTTCGAGCTCTCGCATCAAAAGTATTAAACCTTAGCATTCACGAAAGTTAAATTGACAATTCTAATTAACCTTAACAAAATTACACATGGTGCAAAATATAGAGTCACGATACGCAATCGACATCCCACGTCGGTGTTGCTATACATTACTTCTTATATTTGGTTTTATATTGGATTTGTATAACGAAATAGGTCTGTTTTCCATCAAGAAAAATTTGGTGTGGTTACCATAGATACCACCACACTGCGCATGGGCGATTCTGCCAAAAAGCTTTTCAGCTCTTCCTTTTAAGTTTAAGAATATGGATGGATGGATGGAGATTTGGATCTAATCGTTTCAGTATGTGTCATTTTTTTACCCCAAATGCAATACCGCCCTTGGAAACGTACAGGTGGTAAAAAGTGAACATTCAGAAAGTAATTGGAGACGTCAATTTTAGGTTCAATAACAAACCAGCATTTCCTTTTCCTCTCAGCGCAGTCCGTAAATGTAATACTTTGGAAACTGAAAGCCAAAATTATAACCCAGTGTTATGAGCAAATCTGCACTGAAATAGAGCAAGGAAATTGATTAAATCTACTGCAAGGTCAATAATTTTGTCCATGATGGCACATTGCTATACATGTTCAAACAACCACTTCCGTGTTGATAATTGATACATAATGTACCTACTGAATCGGTTGGCGATCTATGACAACAATCCCGTAACGGAAATGTAAGTTCCTAGGTGACCTATAACAATTAGAACACGGAAGTTGGTCTTTTATGGTCTGTAAATTTGAATTGATTTTTTTTTCTGAGAGAAATTGGCGAGTATCGTGATGTGATTTGGCGTCAAATATCAGTTGAAATAACATTTATTTCACTTTCTTTCCCGCAACATAAACAGAAATGACATTGCGATCATCACCCACGTACACAAACTTCTGCAGTAATTCCAAAGGGGCACACTCTTGAAGGTAATCAGCCGGTCCCTCGTTAGGGTCCATATCGACAATCAACGCGTCAAAGTCTTTATCAACGTGAAAACTTCCAATCTTGTCAGACAAGGCTAATGCTGAAAGATAATTAATATGGATGTGTGCTAGAACCAATTGTAGCTTACCTTTGGCACCTCCTAGTGTAGCTAAGTAGAACGCATCGCAATAGTTTACTGGTTCGTAATTTTTGTTTGTAAACGAAAGGACTGCTGAAGATGTTATGGCATACCTCATCGCATTTATAACCGAACACGAACAGCCACCAGCTACATCTGGAAAACATTGATAGATGTAGGTCCATTTGAGCGATATTTACCAGTCCCCAGTCCCACTTTGACACCTCCGTTGATTATCGCTTTAACGTCACAAATGCCTGAACGTATATTGAGATTCGAATTTGGACAATGGGCAACTGCCGAACCTCGGTCGCGCAACAATTTTACATCCACATCTTTTACGTAAACGCAGTGTGCCAAAATCGTCTAAAATTGTCCAAATGTTAAGATACGAACTGGTCTTACTTCACTTACTTTATCTGTGAGTAACGCAGCTTCATCATATACCAGAGGGTAATCTTTGTGGAACTCCAATTTTACCAGCTCAATTTCATCCAGATTCTCGCATAGGTGAGTCTAAAACACATTGAAGCAATCACATCTGAGGACTACATTTTAGGTGTACTTGTATCGGCAAGTTGAATTCTTTCGCCATTTCTCCAAGGGCCTTTAAATCTTCCTTAGTTACGCTTACTGCAAATCGCGGTGTTATAATTGGTTTAACTAACTCGCTCTGGAAAAAAGAAATAATTTCTGCAACAGTCTACGGAAAAAAATTCTTACGTTTTTCTTCGACATTTCGTTAATAAATCGGCGTGTTTCACGCAGAGATTCTTCTGATGTTTCTATGTAATCGGCGGGACCGTTTTTTGTAAGGTTGACCTTACCAACAAGTGCTCTCTGCCCAAGCCGAATTGCCGAATCTGCCAAGATTAATGTTGAATCTGTGTAGATAGAACCAAAATAGGCAGCGGTCGTTGTACCGTAACTCAACGTTTTTTTCTAGAAAAAGGTATGTTGGTAATCGGTGCGTAAAGTGATTATTCGCCCTTACAACGACAGCGTCGTAACACCTCTTTGAAAATTGGGCATCCTTAAATTTCTTTTCCAGTGGATAGGTGTGATCCTTTAGCCACTGGAGTAGGGGCTTATTCATACCGACGCCAATATTCGGATATTGGCACGCATGGATGTGAGTGTCAATTAAACCGGGTATCAAAATTTGCGAATCGCTCAGGAGTGTTTTCCGTACATTTTCTGAAGTGAATCTATTTTGTAGTTCTGATGAGTGGCCGACGGCGATTATCTGCAAAAGTTAATCATTACTTATAGTTACAATTAAGAAATTTCAATGCACCTTGTTTCTTTGAACTGCAACGAAACCTTTCTGTATGACGGTCACAGTAAAAGGTTGATCACAGTGAATGATATTTCCAATAAATAAATCCACAATGGACTCCATATTTTAGTCGGTACGTTTCCGTGCTCTATTCATTTAAACTGGCGACAATTGCAGCATACTTAGACATTGTAGTAACTGCCTTATCTACGTAGATAGTAACCATAGGCGACGCTTTAGTAACGTACCATGTCATGATAATACTATCAATTCCGTTTATGATTTTTGGCCTATGTGTGGAGAAGCGATGTGAAGTGAATAAATGGTCCACCGGCTTCAGAGGGATCTGCAATTGATGTCACATCTCAAAATAAAGCCTTTTGTTAAATGATAATTGTTCGGGACACAATCAAATCCTATTTTCTTGGTATCATAGTTTTGAAAAGTAGGTAATGCAAAATTACGGCAAAGAAACAAAACCGACGTAATCATTAAGACACAGCTTGGCAATTAATTTTTGACCTTAGGTTTGATAAAAGTTAACCTCAAGACACGAAAAAACTGGGAATCTGTGAAATCTTGCGTCTACAAAACCGGCACTAAAAAAAGACCTGTAAGTAATACTGCTCTCAATAAACGGAATATTTGTCATGTGGTTAAAGACACCACCTCCTTCAGCAAATATATGGGAGATCTGGGAGAGTGAATGGTGCTCAAATTCTGTTCCATGCATGGCATGCTAGATTTCATAATTGTCTAAATATTGAATCACAAATTTCTCCATTTTTAGCTTCCTAGCTTGTGCTAGGTAGCTATTGCGATAGCCGTTTTTTGAACATTTCAAAATTTCATCAAATGTCGACGTTTTAGACCATTTTAAGCAACTTTTAAAGAATAAAATTTTTTCCCGTCTGTATGTACCGTACGTACGTACGTTTGTTGGCAATTTTCTGAGAAAACGGCTCGACGGATTTTGTTGAAATTTTGTATATATGTTTTAGGCATACCGAACAGAAAAATAACGGGCCGGATTTTTGAAAAAAAAATTTTGGAGCGCCGTAACGGCATCGAACTTTTTTTTTCAAATAGCAACCTAAAATTTTTATTCTATTATTTGGAAGACCTTATTTTCCTGTGTACAACCTACAAAAAAATTGGGCCGGGTTATATTATCAAAAAACGGAGAAAAAAATTGTCAGTCAAAAAATTGTGTTGCATATGTGCAAAACGCAACGATCTTGTTTCTGAAGCAATTTAAACGAAATTTCTATGGTAAGTCCCTTTAATAAAAGCGAACAAAATTCATGCGCAAAAATCGTGTTGCGCATGCGCAGAAATGCAATTTTCTTATTTATGGAACAATTAAAACGAAATTTGGATGGTAGGTCCTCCTAATAAAAGAAAACAAAATGCATGCCCAAAAAATCGAGTTGCGCATGTGCAACATCCAACTTTCTTATTTATGGAGCAATTTTAACGAAAATTGGATGGTAGGTCCCTCTAATAAAAGCAAACAAAATGCATGCGCAAAAATCGAGTTGCGCATGTGCAACATCCAACTTTCTTATTTATGGAGCAATTTTAACGAAAATTGGATGGTAGGTCCCTCTAATAAAAGCAAACAAAATGCATGCGCAAAAATCTTGTTGCGCATGCGCAGAAATGCAACTTTCTTATTTATGGAACAATTTTAACGAAATTTAGATGGTAGGTCCTTTTAATAAAAGCTAACAAAATGCATGCGCAAAAAATAGTGTTGCGCATGTGCAACATCCAACTTTCTTATTTATGGAGCAATTTTAACGAAATTTGGATGGTAGGTCCCTGTAATAAAAGCAAACAAAATGCATGCGTAAAAATGCACCTGTTGACGTTTTAGATCATTTTAATAATAATATAATAAATAAGCAACTTTTAAAGAATAAATTTTTCCCGTCTGTAAGTGCGTACATATGTTGGCAATTTTTGGTTTCAGCTAGGAAGCTATTCTGTCAAGAATTTGACACCTGGTTTTGTATATCAACCATATGTATATTTTATGTTGTCGTACAGAAAATTAACTACTCTTTTCAAATATCATAAAAAACGTAGGCAATGCAGGTGAAAAACAAAAGGCCCTTCTGTGGTAACATGGAGGGTCTTCCTGAAGTTCAAAAACTTCGTAAGATGCAAAGGTCTGGGTCAAAAAATGGGGACATTGAGGATTCCATGCGGCAGATATACGTCCACCGTGGGTGAGGCTCTCGCATGTCTCCTGGAAACACTTTCAAGGCTATGGGGACTAGGTAACTTCGGACCCACCAATAGGAGCTACCGGGATCGGTGCAAGGTCGATCGACTGGAAAGTAGCTTAAAAGGGTGTTTACCGAGGGATCTCAGAGATGCCCCGTCAGCACGTTCAGCCCATTTAAGAGTACATGAGACCGGACGGGGATTCCCGGCTCTTCAGCAGAAGGGTCTGGAACCGCTGCTCTTGCATTTGTGGCACCTCTTTAGACTCCCTGGCTTTAAGGGTATATCCTCAAAAGCTGGAGAAAGGTAAGAGTTGTGTACCTACCTCGCCTGCCTGGGATTCACTGGAGCCATGAAAACCATGCCAACTTTCGCCATAGGGGCACTTCTGAGACTAAATCCTTTACATTTGGCTGTGGAGGCAGCTCGGAAGGCTTCCATATGGCTAAATGATTGGGACGAGTGGAAGGATCAAGGTGGCCTAGGGCGCGAGCGGATCTGATAGGAAACCTTCAGGTCCGATCACCTCCTCGCAAGAAGGGATGTGATCCGGGTTGTCTTACTAAGACCAAAGAGTTATAAAATCACTCTCCCAGACAGGGAACAGTGGTTGAACTCAAATCGTGTGTTCCTCAAACATGAGGCGCTCGGATGTTTACAATCGGGTCCCTAACAGAAAGAGGAACGGGCATGAGTATGTATGGTGATCGACCGACATCCGACATCGGCTTCTCCCTCATCTCCCTGATCAGCAGAGTTTCAGGCAGAGATGTTAGCCATCATGACCTGTGCACAGGAGAACCGTAGAGGCTACTTGCATATATCAATATGCAGTGAGTCAGGCAGCACTGAGAACCCCATCAGCAGCCAGGTTCCGATTGGCTAACACTTGATTATAGACGTAGAAGATTTGGCGAGTCTAATAGCGTAAACTTGATCTGATCGCCAAGGTAGTGGCGGGTTCCTCGTCAAGCCTACCTAGGAATTGCTCCATCCGATGTCAGAGCCAGGATTAAAAATTGGGTACCAGTCAATTCCAGGCTCACTGACAACAAGCAACCGAAATCGGGCAGTCCAAATCCTTTTTAAAAGGGCGCTTTTGCAAATATGGGTCTTATAACTCGCGGGGCACTGGATGGTCAAATATCACCTTGCGGAGGAGTCTACGTGTAGGTTCTGCGGCGAAACTACCAACCATGTGGTCTGTCACTGTGACGCCTTGATTAGACATCAGCTTCCTGTCAACAATTATCTGGAAGCGGGGAGGGTGAAATCACTTAGGCTAAACAGGGGCCTATCCTTTATTGAGAGGAACGGGCTCTGAACCTGGTTGCGAAAGAAAGGTGGTATGCACAATGGGCCTTAGCTGAGCCTAAATGCTGCCTGGCCGGGCTCCCCTTATTAATAGGTAGAATGGCTGTATTTAATAAATCTTTCCTTCTCTTCTGAGGTTTTTCTAATCATGGTAAAATCACAAAGATTAACCCAATTCACAAATAAGTTCGAATATGGAATCACAAAATTATAGACCAATTTCTATCTTAAATTCGACTTCGAAAATACTAAATCCCTTATTAAAAATTGCTTAATTGCCTTTTTTGAATCCCATAAATTTTTTAATAATTCACAACTTGGCAATAGGGTAAATAAATCAACAACCGCGACTTTACAAAGTATGCGACACTATATACCTTTAATCTGGTTGAGCATGACTTGCTGAAGGACAAGATTTACTCCTATGACGTTAGAGACGTTGCGCTAAATTTAATGCGATCCACTCGCACACAGTCATTAGTGATCGGTGGCAATATGTTGGAGTTCAGAAAATTTATTCCTGGGGGAAAATTATTGATGTGGCATCAAAATTAAAACCAATTGAGTATGGGGTACCCCAAGGATCTATTCTTGGCCCTATATTATTCATAATCTTTATTCATGACTTCTTTAACTGTTTTGACTCATCTTCAAGCGATATTATCGCATATTATGCAGATGATACATGTTAGTGGGGTATGTAATGAGGAAGAGTTAGAATATAATTTAAAAGGCGCTATCAACTCTTATTAATTGCAAATAACCGTTTAATCAATTTTCAAAAAACAAACATTCCTGTATATTAGAAAAATAGGGGTTTCGATATCTCTCCAATGACTTACAGTCATGTCAATTAGAAATGTATCACTCATACCTTCGTAGGGGTTAGTATAGACACCAAAGTTAATTACAAAAATCACATTGATGATATGAAGCCAAAGTTTCATTCTTCTATTTTCGAATTGTCTCGCTGTAAACATTTCAGTGACCATTTTGCAAATTTACTATTCCATATTTGAAAGTAAGGCATTTAATTATTGGGAACGCCACTAGTGATTAAATTTTCGGGATATTTAATATGCAAACAAGAACAATTCGAGTAATTTCGCTACAGAGACACTGAGGCAGGAATCCTGTAAATCTTATTTTAACAATTTCAGATTCCAACTGTCTACTCATTACTCATAACATGTATTGGAATGTGTATGTTTCGTTTTCAAAAACAAAAAATATCTAAATAGGTATAAGGCAACATGAAGATAAATACGCCCCCGCCATCTTGAACCCAGAAAAGCCTAACGGTGGCTCCAAACTGGAAATTTTGCAAGAAATTGAGGGGAGATTATGGCAAAATGAGCACATCTAAATATTTCATTAATTAATTTTAGATATCTTCTAAAACTGCTTCCATTTTGAACCAGGGCTCAACTTACGGAGTTCTTTTATAAGGTCGGCGAACAGATTAAAAATTCGAATAATTAATGTTTTACATGTATGTAATTGGATGAAGTAATTCGCTAAAAATAATTGATAAGCCAAAATCACAATTTTGAAATAGGGAAAACCATGCGACAATGATTATCATGGCAAGTGGAATACCCCAATATGAACGTGTGTTAATTCATTATCGATAAAATTAAAATTTCGTATATACACAAAGGTGCAGAGGTCTTCACCTTACAATATTTTGGAAAACCTAGGCATGTTTCTCTCATCAGTACATTAAATTTTTGGACACATTAACACTCCTACACATTCTTTTCACAGCGTGTTAATTTCGCATATTCACATTCCTTTTAATTTTAATAGAATAATAATTTTAACCCGGTTAAGATAAGGCTTATATTATGTAGGTGTAGAAAAATGCCTTATTTGTTTAAAATATACTTTTGAAATGTTTTTTTGCGAAAATGGTGATCGCGGAAATGAAGTGTTAATTAATGCTGCATTTTTGCAAATATCAGACATTCCCTTTATTACTTACTTATTAATCTAATATCATCATGGTCGTTGAGTGAAGGATTAGAATCAATGATCATAATTTCATGGAATGAAACTCTCGCGCCTTTGCTAACTTACACACTATACCAAACAATTGTTTTTGTTCTACCTGGTGTCACTGAACGCTTATTATAGTTACAAATGTGTGTATATTTAGTAATTTAGTAGACAACTGCTGTGCTATATAACTTAAAAAGCTAAATGGCGAATATTCCTTCTGGTAAATAAGCCCTAAGTCTACAAAAAATTGCACCACAAACCATTGTTTCCCAATATCAACAAAACTCTACCAATTGATAAACAAATGCAACAATCTTTCCTAATAATGTCGGAGGAAGACGCAATTAGAGACATAATTAGAATTAAAATTTTTTTAAAATTCCAACGTAATCGATTTTTTGTGTGAAATTACTTCTTTTCTTTCAATCACTTGAATTACTGGAATTTACGTAGATTAGCAACTGCTCTTGGGAAAACCGATATCCTTCGTTTCATTTTATAGCACCGTGTACAAGCTTGATTGCTACAACAATTTTATTAATCTTGAAATTAAGATAGGCAAACGTAAACAAAAATTGTTTTGATGATGTACGAATGAAAAGTCGTGGGCATGTGTGTAAAAGTGCAAGAAAAGCGCAAGGAAACCTAACTATGGCTATACTATGACTATGACTATGGCATTACCATACAGTGTATCAATTTGAATAATGTCCATCAGTGGGAATCTATCAGAAATTTAAACTGGGTGCGACAATGGATGAACAAAAATATCACACATGAGGGAACATCGCCCTTTAGGTCCCATAAACTACTCCAACAAATTTTTATATGGTTACCCACTGTGTGCTATACATTGTTTTTAAAGCGTGTTACAATTATCTTCAACAGTTCTTAATGTTCTTTCTTTTCCCATTTTATAAAAATGTTTCTAAAACTTCTAATCCGCGATGGCGAACCCTTGAACCGGGTGAGAAATAAACTTCTAATTTCGAAGGAAGTTTTACTTTTCATTCTTTGAACATTTAAGAATTGTCAATCACATTTTTAATACGACCTTTAAAAATATGGTTTTTACAAAAAAATCCTGTTACGATGTCGTTGTCATCGGATTTTTTAGCACGATAGAGTCTCTAGTAGGACACAAATACCTATACCTATACGTTTTATTACTAAATATTGTTTACGGTGTCTTGTAGATGAACCCTATTGATTTAGAGCTCTTTTCTTCCTTGAAGAAAACCCCAGTTTTCGGGAAAATCCAAAGGGATTAAATGGAAATGGACAACGTCTACCCTCAAAAATTGAAATTAAATAGCCGTTTTCATCACGTATAGGGCAAAGCATACATTTTATATTTAAAGGTAATATGCTTCAGTATGATATGATAAGCAACTCTTTGATGTATACCGCTATGAGAAACGAAGTTATTTGTCGCCCACACTGATTAGAACGTTAATATGGTATTTTTGGAAATAATTAGTTCTAATAAATAAGATTTTACGTTTAAAGCACCGTTTTACCGTATATTAATGCACGAACATGAACCCATTTGCAGAATTTGTTTCAGTTTTGTAGTTATCCGTAACTGATTCCTTTGTAGGATAATTCTAGTATTATACACCAAACATGCTTCATTGCAAAAATTTATTTCAATGTTGATTATCTCGATTCGTATACCGGATGATCACAAATTGTTTAAATTTCTCACAACATTTGTAAAGTCAGTTACGCCCATTGTCATTTATTGTAAAAAAAAGTGTCAAATCCCTTCATCAAGTTGGAGTGGCAAATAAATTAGGTGGCGTAGCAGCAATCCATACCGTATCCGTAGGTACGTACTTTTGTGAATGACAGCCATAATTATGGCAAAGTTCTTAAATTGGATTTCAAAAACGCTTCCACTCAGTCGAACTAGATTGCATTCATTAAGAAGTACAATGTCTATCAATGTTATCGAAATCATCTTATTTTTGGCAAAAATTTAAATAATTCTTGTGTTGGAGCTCAAAAAGGCAATTCTTGCGCCTCTATGATTTTTAGTCTTGCAATTCAACCAATTATTTCATCTTCAGAATCTTATCTTAATGTTTGGTCTGGAATTAAACCTCACCAAATGTGAGATCTTCATATGCTCTGAAATACCCGACTTAGAAGTCTTTTTTTTTCAAAATTTAGTTGCCGGCATAAAAATTTCTGATCGAGAAAACCCAAATCTGATGGTCACAGGGCTTATACTGTGACCAAGAACTGTCTTTTCGTACCAAAATTTAATTTCCTTTTAAGAACAGTCCCTTTTGGAAAATATATATAGAAAAAATTCTTAACATACGTCTCAATATTCTTCAATGGTGTCAAGCTACTTTACCTATTAAATTTGGTGGATTTGGAATTTGTCGCATTCATGACATTTGTCTCCCTGCTTTCTTGTCTTCTGTACATGGTGTTAAAAAGCTTGTTTCTTTATTATTACCAAAGAGTTTATGGGTACTCTTTGTTATTACAATCAAAGCATAATATCATCATAATATTTTCTTGATTCTTAGATCATGAAAAAAGTATGTTGGTATGCACATTTTTAGATTTAAATTATTAATCGTAGTTTGAATACTTTTAGGTAACGGTTTACGTGAAACAGCCTGTATAGTGTACTAAACATAAAAGTTTTGTGATTTTTGTGATTAAAAATTAGGTAATATGTACATTTACAAATAAGTGCTTTAAATTGTTTGAAAAAAATATAACCATAGGTACGTGTCTTGCCTTTGAAAAATATATGGAGTGGAACCCACTGTTGCTACTGCACTGTTTGATACTATTATCAGAATACGCTAGTAAATGTTTAATGGTAATCCAGTCCGCTCTGGTTTTAATTACTCACCAATCGCCATACACTGTGTAGGTATCCGACTAAAGATGTGAACTCATTATTTCCAATTCTATAGCTTGTTACAATAATTGCACGACCATTTTTATACAACAGTTGCCGTACCTGTACAATTAACAATCATCAGGAACACCTTACGAATACTCTAAATCATCAGGAATTTACAAGATGGTCAGAAAAACACACTATGTGATGTAATAATGTAGGTATGTGTACTATTATCATTGAATAAGTATAATTACTTATTCCATGCTATTACTCTACTCTACAGCTACACAATTGCCTTCTACAGTCTAATTCTAGGAGGGGAAATTAATAATTGGATACATGTGTCATTCACCTACATACGTTTATGTAGCTCATTTCAATGAAAGTAAAGCCGTTTGCTTTAGTGAGATGGAAATTACCTATTGGCGTTAAGAATCCATGTTCTTCACCTCACACTCACTCATCACTAGTTGCTAATTTCCACTATTTATTAAAATCTTTACTATCGTGTGGGGAAGATCAAATTAGCATAGTCAATCGTTTGACAACTAAACCGTTGTGTTACATAATCTTATGTTTACCCAGAACCATTGTATATACATCTTTACAATGCCAGAACGTCTGCAACCAGCAGTTGTAAAACCTCTTCACAAAAAAGGAAGATCCCAGTAACGTGTGCAACTACAGGCCATTTGGCCTTTTGTCCAATTTTTCCAAAGTTTTGAGTCGTCATAAATACTTAAACAACTTACCCTTTATTGCCGTCTATAATACAAAACTTTATTTTATAGCAAAAGGCAAGTCATTATAACACTTTTTAAAATTCTGATTTTAAATTAGATGTCACAAATAGCAAGCTTAGGTTCTTGCGTCGTTTCCATGAAAACAACATTGTTTTCTGTTCTGAACTTATTTCGTACTCCGCGTCCCAATTGTAGTCAGAATGACGAATGTCATTAGAATGCATAATCATTTTTTTCACTTTATTTACCCTTGCCGATAAAGAGAGACTCATTCACACTTGTGAAAATGTTAATTTATCATCTGTTCAAAATTGTAAAATAATTAATAGTGCCCAACATGTTTTCATAAAAAAACAAATCAGCTGATATGGCTCTGTGTGACTTTATTGATTTTTGAGCTGCGTGCGATATCGTAAATCTAAGTAGTCTAATTGTAATGTTTCATTGCGATATTCGTGGCACCGCTCTTGAGTTATTTAAATCGCCTCTGTGCAATAGATCGGTAATGGTATAGAATTGCCTAGTGATGAATCACAGAGTTCAGTTTTAGGCCCCGCATTGTTTATAATACAGAGTGATTCAAAATTGAATGCAAAGATTTTAAGGGCGTATTTACCAGCAAAAAAAAGGAAATTTTTTTCAGATAATCGTATATGTCCCAACTTGCTTCGTTTTCTAGACACAGGGTGTAAAAGTTTCAAATTTATTCAAAAACCTTTCAGCCGATTTAAATAAAATTTGGTAGGCTTATTTGTCATCATAAGGGGTTTCCTTTAGTGGGAAGAAAATAAATAAAAACAACCTCTTTAAAAAACTTTTACACCCTCTATCAAAAAATAGCAGTTATTTCAAAGGCGAGTTTTCCTCAGGTCAATCCGTTGAGCGCGAACCTTCTTGAACATGAATTAGCCTTGGAGCGAGTTCCTAGCGATAGAGTATTCGGGCTGGCGCAAAATCTTCTTCCGCAAGAGTAAATATTTCGAAGGCGAATTCTTCTTGGAAGAAAATCTTACCTGGGGGCGAATTTTCTTGGGGGTGATTAAGCCGGGAGCGAATTTTCCAGGGCGAATCTTCATAGAGGTGTAAAGGTTTGGCTAATGAAATGCACCAACTAAAAACACCTTCCATTTTCTTCCTTTGATTAATCTGTTACGGAAATACTGTCCTTAGTAAAGCAATTTCGTACTGGCCAATATCGCCAGGATGCATTCGAATTTAGAAGCTGGGTACTGGCAAACTTTGTGGTAGATAGGTAATAGAAAATTGCAAAAAAGATGATGTTTGGCAAGATCCTAAATCTTGGACTTTATCGACTTTTAGACGTTGCGAAATATGGGATGGGGAATTTGAATTTGGTGGATCAAAACATGCATGACGTTCAGACAACTATAAAATGAGATCGCCGCGAACTATTTGTTAATTATCGCAGTTCGAATTCGTAACCTTGTAAACGTATAAGCGAGTGAGAGAATTGCACGATTTTAATTATATTGTTTTTAAGTCTCAAGTACGACGCACGTGAAAATGTGGAAAGCTTTATTACTCGTAACGTTACATCTTGTAAGTTTAGTAGACATCTCTGGGATATCTTAATTTATTTTTGTTTTACAGTGTGCCGGTAAGTGTTGTTTTTGTTGCTCAAAATTTCCATTATTTATTTCGCTTGGTTAATTATGGTAAGTAGGTATTATTTATTTCTTTTGTACACCGATAATGTTTATTTTTATTGTATTATTCAGTTGTCATTTACATACCATTTGAATGTACCTACAAGAAATTATAGTAGGTACGTTTCGATCATTTCCACTTCATTATAGATTTCCACGCATAATAAGTGGCATTTTTATAGCAATTCCTTTACCTATACGTACCTATTCGGATTATCAGTAGGCGATAGTTAAAGTTTCTTCACGAAAGCCATGAAATATAAAGTCGTGTACTATGGCGATTGGTGAATACCTACCCATTTTATTAGATTGCAATATTTTAATCATTTATTATTTATATTAAGTGTGGGTTTTTCATAAAAAATGATGGTGTGGGATGCACTGAAATTCTTAGATTAACTGAAAACATTTCGCCGGCATTGATTTTATCAATGTTCATGTCTGTGTGTATAGAAATAGTTTCCATGGCGAACCTTTTGTCCAATTTGGACAAAATTCGGAAGAGCCGGTTGGGGACAACGTAAGTACTTGATATAGAATTATGCTATGATCATTACAGATTCCTACTGCATTTTTAGCGCATTTTCCAAAAGGAAAATGAACGCTATTGTCCCTCTGTCTGTCCGTGTGGATTTTGTAGTGCAGTATCTGTCGTTGGATGATAACTGCTACCCCTTCTGATGCTTGCCGGGTATTCCGATCAGTACGGTAGACTAGGTACTCTGGTATTTTGAAACTTTCATTTTTTATTAGATGCGATTCCCTTATATGCAAGCCGTATGTATGTTGTGCCTTTGCAGGAATAGCCTGTCCGCTTACACAGGATCTGGCACTGACACGGGAAGATTTAAAATGTTTGTTACAAAACCAGATTTCATTGTTTATTAAATTTGTTGTCGAAACGCAGAATGCATTAGTGGAAATTCTGAGATGGTTCACTTTTAGAAAATTGTATTAACCCTCATTGTTTCTTACGCATTATCGCAATCTGTTGCTGAATGTGTTCCTCACTCTATGTAGTATAGCCAATGGGACGTGGCTAATTTTTGGACGAATTCTGAAGTCTCGGTTAGCCTCAAAAACCTTAGATTTCAAATAACCGCATAGCTAAACCTAGACAACCGTCCAAATGTGCATGTACAACCAGTTCTTGTTTTCTAGTTCTAAAGCTTGATCAGTTCCTCCAAATACCACCTTCTTTTTCGATGTTTCACTCAAAAATAAAATTCCTCAGTAAAAGCCACACAATAACAGGCATAAATGATTTGCCATCGCTCTGTATTACACTTTCTTAACTTTAAATAACAACAAACGCTTGATAAACATTACCAATGCCAAATAATAAAGATATTTTGCTACACAATATCGTCGGTAACAAACGTATACACATAAACCTATTGACAAGATCTCTATATTAAACAACTTCACAGAAGAAATAATTTTAATTTAGGATGTATATCAGTAAATGAAGTGCTTAACTATAAATATTTCCTTTAGCAAATGAATTCTTCGGGCCAGGATTTCCCTTTGGAGAAGACGCAGGGGGGCCCACGCGTTTTAGTCCAGACTTGTCCAACCTAGGGGACCAGATAAAAAACTCTGTTCACAATCAGTTGGCTAAATCGGGCGTTTTTTCTTTGCAATCTCAGATGAAGAATTTGGGCGAAACTATTGTAAAAAACGTTCAGCAATCGCTATCGCCGGTTTATGCGATTCCAATAAAACAAAAAATGATGAAAGGGGTTGGAGGACTAACAACTGTTACGTATTACGGAAAAGATGGTATGTTGATATTGTTATATTAAGTATGGGTTAATTGTGATGTTTCAGTTCAGTCTTTCATCATCCAAGATGGTGCTCGCACTGTTTGCAATGGAATTATTGAAAACGGTCACTGTAAGGGAAGTTTGGAACCGTTCACCGTTAGATCGAATGAAGACTTCTGTTATGCCGATTCTTATGCAGTAGTTAATGATCGCGTTTGTCTATCTTTTGGTCCAATAAATGTCGCTGTAATGAACAACGACATAATCTGCAATGGAGCTAAATCGCTGCTCCTTAACAAAGCAGAGTATAACCAACTATGTGGTGCAGGCATTCGAGCAGTTTACGTTTACTACGCAGATCCTCGCAATCCTAACGCGGTTCCCATACCAAACCCAAATCCTAACATCAAATGTCACAACAATGAACCAGGAGTCTGCATGTTTGAAGACATACCGCACCTAAACTCAAACACTGTTGTGTCCAACAGAAACAGCTACAGTTACTCTTACCAATCTAATTAAGTCTTTAATTTTGTATTTTTGTCTACTTGTGCTTCCTTTTTGAATAAATAAAATTCTTGCAAATACCTACGCAGAGGGAGTAGTCCCAACAATTTAGTGGTTTTTTTTTAAATAAATATCTCTGATCGAGCAAGCAGTTGTGTAGCAAAATTAAAGACCGCGACACGTTTTATGAAAACTATAATAAAACATATTTCACCGCCATTCAACTTCGTATTACTTATCAAAAACAAATCCTTTTGGAAATATGGCTACTTTGGCTTGTGCCACAAATGTGTTTATAAAGGGTGTCCCAAAATTAACGCAAGATTTGAATTTGCCGCCATTTGTGCGGTGAAGTGTTGGCAACCCTGAAAAAAAAGCAATTTGACAGCTAACAGTATAGGGTTATTAAAAATGGAGCGTTACACGATAGGACAACGTGTCTTCATTATTAAAGAATATTTCAAAAATAGTGAAAGCTTGGCGGCTGCAGTTCGAAAATTTCATACAAAATATGGTCGGAATAGTGTTTTAACTTCGTCAACTGTGAAGAGATTAATTGAAAAATTCATGGAGACTGGATCCGTTGGAGACGCCAAACACACTGGTCGTCCAAAAACAAGCCGTTCGAATGTGAACACTATTCCGACCATATTTTGTATGAAATTTTCGAACTGCAGCCGCCAAGCTTTCACTATTTTTGAAATATTCTTTAATAATGAAGACACGTTGTTCTATCGTGTAACGCTCCATTTTTAATAACCCTATACTGTTAGCTGTCAAATTGCTTTTTTTTCAGGGTTGCCAACACTTCACCGCACAAATGGCGGCAAATTCAAATCTTGCGTTAATTTTGGGACACCCGTTACTACATATCAAGAGGATGATTATGTGACTATATACCGAAATTCAAAATGTTTCAGGGGTGCAGAACATTTTGATATCTACGAAATTGCTTTGTGCTATTTTCTTTAAATTCAAAAATTAATTGCAACTGCAATTCTTAGCCGAGCACGAAAGTCGTCGGAATTTCACAAAACCGGTGTGTAGATTCTTTGAGGGTTTAAGAACAAAATGGTACAGCACATGGTACTGAGGTGGAAGGCAATAGGGGATAAAGGATGTTGCTTGAGATGAAATGTCTAAAGTAATCTTTGCATTTCTTTATAATTTATTTGTGTTCTGTGTACAACATTTTGTTTTTTTTTTGTAATTTTTAATCTGTCTAAAATTGATATGATGTTAATGGTGGCAAACAAATGCACAGAGAAATGGTTTAAAATGCAATTAATGGCCGTTTGCACCGACAAATTTAAGCGGAGCTTAGCTTAAAAACCATGGCATCGATTATTGAGACAATGGTTGCCATGGATTTTAAGCTACGCTTAAGCTAGGCTCCACTTAAATTTGTCAGTGCAAACGGCCATAAGAGGTCTATACGCACGTTTCTAGGATTTTGGCACATGTCAGAACACTTTTTCAGAGCTTTGTACTCCTTTTTAGTGCTTTGTAGGCACGCCTGGCTGAAATCCACTTACGAAGCTCTGAAATGCGTTATAAAGGCTCTGGAAATCATTTTAAATGTGTACTTCAGGAGTTTTCGAAGGCTTTTTGAACGATTTCTAACGCTTTATATCGCTCTTCCTCATGATTGTTTCTCTAATACCTTTTTAGAAGAGTTTCTACACACTTTTCACATTTTTTACGTAGCGTTCCTACCCTTTCATCAATCAAAATTTATAGAATTAATCGTAATAATCATTCTCGACGTATCACTTTATTTGCAATTTTGAGGGTGTTAATTAAAATCTAAAAAATGGGGTAAAATCAATTTGTATGTTTTCGAGTAATAAATAGGTGTTTCTACTGAAAATTATTTAGGGGTTAATTTTCATTGAACGAGGGTGTAAATAAAGTACACGAAAACCATTGTTATCATTCTTTGAGAATTAGTCAAACTTGCACAAACCGATTTGCAAATACAAGGTAAATATTTTATTAAAAATATGATTTATCAAAAGTCTGGCAGTGTAGATAAGCGCGAAGAACTGCAGGTGCGTTATCGTTCCAGACCGGCCTCGGGAATATCCAACACGATTTTGTAGTAAGAATCAGTCGTATTTGAACTGTTCACAGTGAAGTAGTGACAATTTAACTTGCAATTTTTGGTCCTTCTCGATATATTCTTAAGGTAATTTGTTAATTGCTGTTAATATTAGGGCTAGTATGGCTACAGTACGTGAATTACACATCGTCCTTTGTTGAAATTTATAAAACGCGTTCACTTTTCTGATATTATATTTCAGTAATTTATTGTTTCTAGCCAGACTCGTGGTTGATTCCATTTTCAAATTTATACGATTTGTTTCAGAAACCCTAGCAGAAACCACACGAAAAGGAATGAGGAGGATAAAGGTAAGTCGTTCTTTCCTATTGCGAATTATGGTGGTATCGATAAGTGAAGGATTAGAATTACCAAATGGTGTTATCTAATTGAAATAATTTGCGATTCCATCTGAAAGCATAAGACACTGTCCGCGTCGGGTAAAATTTGGTACCTAGGTTCTCTTTGTGAAACAGTACTGCAGAATTAAACAAACATCCACTCCAACCAGTACCGGATTCAGAGAGGGGCTCACTCCAAAATATCCGCCTCGTTCCCTACAAGCTACCCCAACTTAAATTTGGAGTCCGTAGTAAACCATTTCCAGAAATCTAAAAAATGCCCAAACACGTCTAATTTGTTTCGAATAGGACCAAATTTCAACTCACTTTTGAAACTTACCATACGCTTCTTTAAATTGCACAAAGGGTAATTTGGCACATCATATTAAATCTAATTCCATTTTCACATGTAACATTTATTTCCATCACTATCAGAAATACTAGAAAACATTCGTTTCCTTGTACTAGTCCTTCATTAATTTATACCCTATTCGAATTAAATCCAATGAACAAAGGCTTCTAGTTCGCCACTTTACAAAAAAAACACGCACGGAATGGAGTTAAAAACTCCGAAAATTTTAATTAGTAAGAAATCAATCCAATTTTTATAAAACTAAAGTGATTCTAGTCACAAGTATAATAGTAAAGTAGCTGTTATAGGTAGTATTCGTACATTTTGACATGACCTCAGATGCCATGAAATTTTTTAGGGGATAGCCCTCGGGAATGACATGTAAAAACTTGGAAATGAGGTCTCATATTCAATACCAAATTTGATCGGATCGGGCATTTATTTTTATAATACACCATGACCAATACAAGACGGCTTGTATATGTACTTATACGATTGGCTATGGTATGTGCTACATTTAACTTTTCTCGGGCTACGCTACATCTATTGATATGGATGATCAAAAATTCCAAAATTCTATCACTTTCACCGTATTTTTTTATAACTGAAATTCGTTTGTGTTTGGCGTTGTGTAACTGAGCCTGTAACTTTTTTGCTTATTAAGCTTTGACTATGTGCCGAGAGGCCCCCTCTACGATTTTTTCCTGAGAATTAAGTTGTTTAAACGTTAATAACGAAGTACATACGCAATTTAATTTGAGTAAATCAAGGCATACGTTACTAGTTTCCGCTAAGTAACCATAAACGTCCCAATTGGTGACAGTGGTCCAGAAGAAGTTTAAGTATGTATAGGAATAATAGTACCCCGAGGAAGCAATGCTCAAAGGTTTAGAAACAGGAGTGAATTTTCGCAAAGGTTGAGTAGGCTAAAGCCTAGGGCAGCGAAAAGTACAGGTTCAGGCTAGTATATACTAAATCAAATTATTCCAAATGGAATACTATAAATGAGCCCCCTTAATTTGGTACTCATATACTTTAAGCAACAAATTTAGTACTGCCCCACGTTCAACTTACCTGTTGAAACATTAAATAAACAAACTGCAAGTTACTATGTTGTCTCAGGGCTTATAGATCGCAAACATGTCAATGAACGGATGAAATTCACGCAAATATTTCATTCAAAACTTAACAGTCTTTAAAGTTTCAGAAGTTAGCTCCTTGGAATGCCTGAATCTTCTTCCTTTTAAAATCTCTACAGAATCTTTAGAACCTTCAGAGCCTCAGAAAAATCTTTTAGGATCTTTTTATAATTTTATTAATACTTATTATACTGGAGTATCTCTTGGAAACGTAGAAACTTTTCAGACTCTTCGGAAGATCTGCTTAGGATCTCCAGAAACTTTTAAGGGCCCCATACACGGAACGATCCGTCGTCACGATCGATCTGAAGCGATATCGTGACGATAGATCGCCCAAAGCTTACCACTCACACACGAAACGATTGGTCGTTACGATCGATCGCTTACATGTTTTTAAAACCGAACCATCGTGATTAAATAATTTAATACGTCATACGTGCCCTGTCGAATCGTTGATCGCAATGAGCCATACACTGTCGATTCATCGTTACGATATTCACGATTGCATGCGTTTTTGTTGCGATGTCCGATATCCAATTCGATGAAGTAAATCGTTAACGATCTTGACATACACTATCGATTCGTCGTTTCGTTCGGTCTGAAACGACGGATCGGACAGATCGATCGTACCGTGTATGGGGCCTTTTAGAACTTCTTTTTAGAGTACTTATTTATAGAATCTTCTTTGTACCATCTTAAGATGCTCTTAGAATCTTTTTACTATCTTCTTATAGAACGCCTGTTAAAACATTTCTAGAATATACAGAACAAAAAACGCAATTAGTTTTTAAGTCTGAAAAATCACATTTGATACTTTTGCAACCTTTTGAACCTTCAGAGCCTTGAAAACTATTAGAATTCTTAAGGGCCCCATACACGAAACGATCCGTCGTCACGATCGATCTGAAGCGATATCGTGACAATAGATTGCCCAAAGCTTACCACTCACACACGAAACGATTGGTCGTTACGATCGATCGCTTACAACCGAACCATCGTGATTAAATAATTTAAGAAGTCATACGTGCCCTGTCGAATCGTTGATCGCAATGAGCCATACACTGTCGATTTATCGTTACGATATTCACGATTGCATGCGTTTTTGTTGCGATGTCCGATATCCAATTCGATGAAGTAAATCGTTAACGATCTTGACATACACTATCGATTCGTCGTTTCGATCGGTCTGAAACGACGGATCGGTCTGAAACGACGGACTTTCGAATTCCGGTTTAAAACTCAAGCGAAATCACGAACAAACTAAAGTGACTCTTCAGATTTTACTTCTCGGTGTTCAAAACTGAAAAACTCGAGTGACCCGAATCTCGTGAAAGCCCCCCCCCCCCATCTTTTGACCCAAATCACGTATAAAGCCCCATTAATTTTATCACGCCTGTCACCTACTTACCCAGATTGATACAAAAATCTTAAAAACTAATCAAATTTAACAAAAGGACACACCTTCAAATTTCCTACAATTTAAATATCTTATCTCCTTAAATGCGGATCGATCAGGCCTACATTATTCGAATCAAGGACAAAACCACCTGCGGCTTGGCTTGTACCTTTCTCAAAAATTACAACTTTTTAAGGTATGAAATTATTAAAATTGACCTTGTTTTAAAACGCCCTGTAGAAGCGCGATCAAAATTTAAATCACTCATGTAGCATCAAGTCAGTATTGCCGAGTTTTAAAGATTTTTTTTAATTCAAGTCAACTAAGAAATAAAAATCTTGAATAACTTGAAAACCTTTGATGCTGGGGACTTAAGACTTAGATTGTTAGATTTTCATGTAAATTTTAAAAATGCAATGAAATATAGGGTGTTCCACATAAAATAAGAAAGTTGCTATAGACGTCCAGTAAAGCCGGAAGTGAAACGATTATGATAATATTTTATTTAGATAGATCATGAAAAACTATGTTTGTATGCACATTTGCGGATTTAAGTTATCAATGAAAGCCTAAATATACTTTTAGGTAACGATTTGCGTAAAACAGCCTGTATAATTGTATAAATTTAATTAATAAACTTTACCTGATAAATAATAAATAGCCACGGCACTTGAGTATATTATAAAACGAACCTACTGCGAATTTTGACTGAACGTTAGTAGGTACTGAAGTAAAATGATTCATGTTTTATTTATGGATGATTCAAAAGGACGCGCAACTCGGTATCTTCCCCTCTAGTTACGGTGTTGCCGGATTTGTTAAAAATGTGTGCATCAGCGTAAGATGTACATACAGGGTGGAACGTCTCAGGGTGTTTGCAGAGATGGATCCATAAGATTCAATAGGATATAAGTATAACCTAGGGGCCCAAAGAATTTAAGATATTTCAATTGAATAGGTACCTACAAGAAATCAATTTATAACAGTAATTTAACAAACTTTTGAAGCGTTTTTCTATAATTATCCGCAATTTCCATTTTTTACGTAAAGTTGTTGAACTTTTCTTCTTTCCGGTCTAAGAATTTACCTCGGAATTTACTAATAAGTAAATATTAATCGTCATTTATTAGAATTAGAATTAAAATCAATATATACTTACTAATATACCTACTTCTTTTCTCGGAATTTTCTGATTTTAGGTCTCTTTTACTAAAAATTTTACAAATTTTCTTAAAGCTTCTGAGGGACTTTCGAAATGTTGATAGAGATCTTTCTAGAAACTGTCTTGCACAACATCTAAGTCTAAAAAGCCCAATACAATTGGAATCTTTTAAAATCTCAATGTTTCACATGCACATTCAACTCTTAAACCTTTTTCTCATGCTATTCTAATGAATACTCTTTGTAATGTACAGGATTACACTTTTATGAGTATCTCTCCGTAATTTTTTTGGGTCAAACATCAAATGATAAAATCGAAACTTTAAAATGTTTGCCATCTTAAGAGATACAGCAGGAAATCAAAAAATTATCAATTTTGGAACGACCCTACATTTTCTTAATCGGGTAAAAAACTTATCAGATCTAACCTCATTGTTTAAATGTAGGTTTTAATCTAAAAACCATTTCAAAAATATATACTTTAAAAGAGCTTTAAAAAAACTTCAAAATCTTTTTTGGATTTTGGATCTTGAACTTTTTTTGAATACCATACATGGCGTTAGGTATACTTTTGAAAAGAGAATCTGTTATATTTCTCTAAAATCTACAGGGTGTTCCATCTGAAAACTTGAGGTGTGATCTGATACCTTTTACATAAAGCATTCCATAAAAAGTCAATAATAATTAATTTTTTTAATCTGTGTATAAACATATCACATATGAGGAAGTATAAAATCACAATCAGCTTCATTTTCGACAAAACATACAAGATCAGAGACAAGTTACATACAAAGACCTACACTAAGGATTAACAAAATTAACGAGAAATAATCAAATTGGTAATACTGCTCCTTAATTGCGCGTTAATGACTGCAATTAAATATTTTGCCACAATGTGTTATTAAAGTTTCAATTAACAATATATCTGTAGTCATATCTGGCAGCACGGATGATGTAATTTCGGCTGGGCCAATTAATGTAGGGGCAAATACTGTTGCTAAATTATGAGAGTTCATCTTGTTAATCGCAGCGTGAAGTGATACTCTAAAAGTGAAACTTAGGACATCTCAGACTAGGCAGAGTTCACTTACCGATTCAAGTGTTCGACCATATACTGTAAGGTGGCATAATGCTGTTTTGGTAAAGAGAAAAGTGCGTGACGTATTGATGATATTTTCAGATCTAAATTCTTGTGCTCTAAAATATTATTGTTGCACAAAGTGCGAGTATTTATTAGCACTTACGCATGGCATCAATCAGAAGGGGATGCACCAAGAATGTAATAAGAGGAATGGGAAGTAGTCTCAAATATAGCTTTAAGGCACCAGTAATTACATTGATGTTTGGGTATTTATCTTGACTTAAATCTGCCTTTTCGCCATCCCTATCGAACGCCATTTTAATAGCGTCGATTTCCTCCGCAAATCCGCTTAGACGATAAATTCCTTCGCTTGTTAGTCCTCTTGCTTCTACTTCCGTAACGCATTTAGTTACAACAAATGGCAGTGTGGCATTGTGGGCTGTTAGCAGGGTTGTTAGCTCGATTCCAAAAACGCCTCGTAAATATTTCAAATCAGGTATGCAGTCATTAGGAAATTTCTCAGAGCATCTTCCTAAAAATGATACACTTTTTATTAAACTTGGGCAATTGTTCCTCTTGAAACTACAGTTACAAATTCAGTGGCATCAATCTACAAAATATATAACGCCCTTTTCTAAAGTCAATTCTCACACTACTCTTATCCCATCTAAATTAATAATAGCGATCAGTTAAGCAGAAAGCTTTTAGACTTTCATGAAATTGTACGTCTGATTGTCTGTCCCTGTGGGGGCACGATAATTAAAAAAATTGAAAATGATTTTTGATTCTGTTTCTGTGAAGGTATGCGACTTGGACGAAAAAATACACACTGTGTTCTTGGTGAATCTTAGAACCGTTTTGACCATTCAGTCATTCAAAATCAATTTTAAAAATACGAGGGCTTCTCACGAATTTACCACACTATCATTAATATCATTACGCACTATTATCCGGGAAATGGTGGTAGATTAGAAATATAACTTGCATGATTTAGATTTAAAACGCCTACATGACTTCATTCATTTCACATAGAAAAATTCTTCTATTAGAAGAGCACAGTCAATATTTGGATATGTATTGTTTATTTACCATTTTACTTCTGTAGTTATTCATGATAAACCGTCTGAAAACATATGTAAGTTTCTTGGTTGAAAAATTAACCCTTTCACTGGCGAATAGATCAAACCCCAAAAGCATTTGAATGGTATGCAAACGTTAAAATGGCCCGTTGAGCTAGTCACTGTACTATTAAGAAACCAGAGCCTTGAAATAATAATAAGTTAGCCAATTCAATAAAACATTTCATGTAGGGCTTTGTGGTCAGACCCTACGTTTAAGTAATTGTTTGTCCTTTTTTTTTAAAAAAAAATCGAATAATTTCCTTTTTTTAATACAGAAATGTAACCATTTTATCACTTATAATTGCACAAGAGGTTTGTATTTTACAAGTAAATTTGGGTTGTTAAGGTAATGAAAATCTGTTGCCTAGCAATTAGACGAGATAAACTGTCAACTAATAAAAATGCGACACCAAAGTGGAGCATTTTTAGGTTGACAGTATTTCGAATGCAATTGCTAGGCAACAGATTTTCATTACCTTAACTTACTGGACATAAAATTGCAGGCTGTGAGAAATGAATTGTATTTGAAGAAATTAAAATTGAATGAAAATGTCTCGGAAAATGCACAATATGTTTTATTCTTCTATACATTCTGTATTAGAACTTGGTGCTATATGCAAATTGCGAATCAAGTAATGCAATGTTTTTAAAAGATTGAAAATTGATAGCTGAAATTTAAGCCATACATACTGTGTGTGTGTGAGACCTAGTTTCTGACTTCTTGTGTACTGGTTATACACAAGAGCCAATCAAGACCGATTTTCAAAAACTATGTAAATAACAGATTTCTATTTGTATTAACAATCATGAATTGTTTAACTCGATCTTCACCCTCTCCTGCATAAGGACTCACCCAATGAAATATTCTGATCCTGCCACTATAAACCAAGCTCCCCCCCAATAAATACACTGATTATATTTACCATGGGCAATCAACCCGCAATCCTCACACTTAACACCTTGTGCTGAAAATCCCCACAAGAAATTTCCGCAAAGTTCACACCAATTCAATCCTTTGAACGTGGTAATCTTAAACACATGAGATTTTTCGTACTTCTCGACATCGTTGACTTGGAGATTCTGTGCAGGGAAAATATTCCGTGCACATAGTGAATACTTGGCCCTCTCTTTCGTGAGAGTTTGTAACTTTCTTTTGTTGAGTGTCATGTACGGACTCTCTTGATAGTTTACAGTGGGTAATCGTTGTAAAAACACTGGTGCTTTTAACTCTAGATACATTGTAACAAGACCATCAGCTACTAGGGATCGAACGCAATCGTATCTTTTTTCGCGGATGTATAAGCCTGATGCAGGATCATAATATAACTTGTAATGGTGGATCTTGTCGTTAAATCTAAAAGTAAGATCTTTAACGCATGAAACCAAGCAATTTGTACATACTTAAGACTTAATGTGTAAAAATGCCCGTTGGCAGATCTACTCTTCCGTACCAGATAAGCACCATTAGGTTGAAGATTTAATAGATTCGCTGCTTTTATATGAGATATATCCCCATGGTAGTCCCGGCCTAAATAACTAGGAATCTCAAGATGGATATCCGTACACAGCACAGGCAACGGTACCGGAGCGTCCAACTGCATTCGATATACTACAAAATATAAATGATGAAAGAAACTTTACTTTACCTCTTCAGGCCGTACACTTTACATAAAAACAAGAAGGAGGATACAAGCGATTAACTGAATAATCCTCCATTTCGTGAGGCATATGTTAACAATGTTAAAACCCACATTTAAACACAAAAGGTATTGATAAAATTGAGTAAATATTGTCATATCTTACAATCATTCTTCCACACTGTATGAGTTGGAGAGTGGGATTCCATGCCCAATTATCTAATCTTAAATTAATAGGTCATTCCCTACTAAATTAAATGCTCTTGGCGCAATTAATTACTATTTATTTACATTCCATTTCAGTAACAATAATTTTTACTCTTTCTCTCTCTTCACGTTCACCCTCACTTCTTTCGCTTTCTCTTCTCTTTCTAACTTGCAGTGGCGTACGCTTCACAGTCATTACTTAATATCAGCAGTTCTCAAACTTAAGTTTATTATGATACTATCTACCGGGTGGTGCCTAGCGCGACGCAGCATAGGGATTTCAATGGTCATTTCTTTATAGTCAATTACTAGCTCCCCTAATTATTTTAGTTTAGAGCAAAAGTTTAAATACGTTTTTTTAGAGAAAAAAATACATACCTACTATTACTTATAATTTTCCGTTTTTCAAAACCGTAGAAATCGAGAAAATAAAAAGGTTCATTTTACAATAAATCAAATATGCCTTGGGGTTACCTAAAAAAACAGCGATCACGTTTCATTATTGGCCTTTGACGTATATTAAATTTATACTTGTTTATAAATTAGTTAAAGAACTGCAAGTGCAATAACGTTCAAAATGTCTATCAAAACCATCAGGAAAACGACAATACATTCAACGTTTTGGCTGCAGTATAGCGGAAAATCCGAATATAATTTGGCTGTATTAATTATTGTGATGCCATTGATAATATTTTAAGTATTTAATCAGTGGTCATACTAAGCTCATTGTACGAGAAAAGGTAATCACATAATTACATAAACACTTAGGTTTTTTTAACTCTACATTATAGGTATAACTCCATCAAAACATCTTTTATTACTATTGTAATGTAATGAGCTCATGTAGTTGCTCGTATGAATCAGAATCATCAGCACTGCTGGATATCCCTGAAACAGAGCAATCATCTTCTTCAGTTCCTATAATTCATATTTCTGCTTCTTTTTTGAAAGCTGTTTCTGAGCAGACTTTTTTAGTGGTTTTTTGTTGCATGTTTTAGGTACTTACTTACTGAGATTGTAATTTTCTATTTGCCTTAAACTGTTCGACTTTTAATTGCTCTCCTATTTGTATTTGTACATTATTCCATTACTAATCGAATTTGGCGTATTATAATAAATTAATAATATTAGTTATTCATCACTTTGTAGTGTACTTAACCCCCAGGTTCTACGCTAATTTCACACTACAAGAACACGGAAATAAAATAAACCTGGCAACGTTTAAAAATGGCCACCCGAATTACTATTCCCTCTAAAACTAAACAAGATCCCGCTTAAATTTGAAAAGTGGCACGTGATAAAACATCTAAGGCAGGGCCCCCTTACGTTAGTTATAGATAACGCTTTGACCTGAAGCACAGTAGGGAAGGAACGTTAAATAAAACACTGAAATGGTAAAAAGTTTGTTTAATAATGATCGTAATTAAGATTGTGAAAACCCGGAAATTTAGTTGATGTCCATTAATATAAACAAAACAAACAAAGCCAAAAGGTGTCGTACTCTCGCAAAAGTCACTGCCAAGGGTAAAAAGAGTACGACGTAAGAAAAACCTTGCAGTTTGATTAAAACAGTCCAAAAGTTAATTAACAAAATATTTTGTAAAAGTTTAAGCAGTAGTTAACAAATATAGTAAATGCATATACACAATGTTGGTTACACTCAAAGTTAAAGCAAGTTTTTGGGGACAATGGGTCAGGTAGGAGCAGGTACCAAGATTCTGAGAAAGGGTTAAAAGTACAGGATGTGACTCATCTTTGGTGCAATAAAGTCCTTTTGTTGAAAGCAAGATGGAAAATTACATGGCCTTGTAGGCAAATTTGACTAAAAACAAGATATGTGGAAATTATTGAATCGCCACTCATTTAACGCATATAGATTCTAAACTGAAGAGCTTTGATTAGCGTAATCTCGCTCCTGCAAGATGGGTAGTCCGCCCCTGGTTTCGGGGTTTCGAACCTACAGTTGGATGTCGAAGACAGTGCACGGAATTAGGTGCCCTAACACATAATTCTAGACTACAGTTTCTTTTTCCACCTCCCGTGGCTGCTTCATTCACGGAGAAAATTGTTAGTAACAAACAACAAGTCAGTACATACATCAAACGAATCAGCAATTTCCACATATTAAAATAAAATGAAAACTTACATGAATGTAACTTCAGGGACAAGACCAAATAATCAACACCAATAAACATAAATTAAGCAAACATTACACCAAAAACGTAAACAATTACAAACAATAGCATAACGGTATCACACATATGATTGCATTGCGGTTAAACCAAGTAAATTTCAAAAACAAATATTGAAACACACAAAAAATATAAAATGCGGCAAACAAAACACAAATACGATATAAAGAAATGCAAAAATTACTACCTGCATTAAATAACACAAAATAACAACAAACATTTATGGAGCGAAACGTTGACGACCGCCATTCAAGACAAGATGCCAAACATAACTCCCGTTCGTGCTTTCTAGGTGGCGCAGGCAACTTTTTTTCCCACCTAGAAATTGCATGGTTGCCAACTCTCCAAAATGTATGTATCATCGTAAATTGTATATACAGGGTGGAACCTCTCAACTTTTTCATTTTTTGGAAACAAGAGTTGTGGTTTGTGGCGATACAGTAGTTATGTGTGGCTTAGGCGCCCGTATAAGCGGGTTCTATTAATGTCCTGCAGTGATTTTCAGCTGCCAACAGCTCCTATAGAGGTCTTTCAAAGGAGCAGGTGTAAGTTCTTTAAATATGAGAAATTTCATCAACGGTAGCAGTTGATGATATTAACCGGGGGAGGCATTTGGTTGTCTCCCGACTGGTCATATCAACTGGTTTAACAACCTCATTTTCTTGGGTTTCTAAAGGGAGTATGGAGAGATCCGGGGATTTCCTTTGTTAACTCAAGTTTTATGCAGTGGGTCACAGCTTCCGGTTTTAGGTCCATTCATTTCTGAAGTTCCAGTTACTGGGAAACCGTGTAATTACAGACGTTATAAAATCTACACAAAGTCTTGTTTAAGAGTTATTCTACGAGGATGCTCTCATTTCCACTGGATCAACATTTTGTCCCATGCTTCTTCTTATTACATAATGATACCACAAATTACCCCAGCTGTAGCGTAATCCGTGATAATAAATCAAAATTGAAAATGTCTAGTTAATACGCGCGTTACGGAAAAACCACAAAAATTCAATAAGTGCCTAACCATGACGTCTTGGTATTACTACAATGTTTGTTAAACTGGGGGAAAATTGTAATTGAATTGTTTGTTATTCAAAGACAAAGTTCAAAGACTACATTTTTCAATTTTTTGATTTTCCAGTAGGTATAGTAATGTATGGTCGTAGACAAGGAAAAGCAAGTAGGACTCAGCCCATTCCTAGAAAACTATAAAGATCTATTATAGTGAGTCTCAAAAAATCGTTGAAATTTTTTAACTTCACCCACTTTCATATACAATAATTAAACGTCCACATTTGTATTGACTTCCTTCAATTGAATTTAATCGTTAGGTCAAATGTCACCAAAGTCACAGATAATCTCAAATAAAAAGGGTAGGGCAATGACGAAGGCAATATGAAAAAGAAACCTTCAAAAATATAAAATAAAGGCAATAAAATACAAATAAATTAATAAAATAGATTACCTGAATTTTTGGGTATATGATCCTTTTCCGATTTTGTAAGCGTTTCAAAATTGTTACCCCAAGATTGTGCACCCCTAAATGGAATCACGAAATTTTTCTTTTGGGAGTTTTCCAGGATGAAAACTCGAAGGAAACATTCATGTGCACTTGTTTTAACCACAAAAATGCTCATAATATTGTGTAAATTTGTGGTTACATATTCTTGGTGTATGTGATAACAATAAATAATGTAAAACAATTTTTCCACATGTGGTCCTTAGTAGCCTCCCCTTTCATAAATCGGAATCAAACAAAATCTCCATTACGTCTGTGTGTACTCTTATTTCCGGTTAAATGGCAGAACCAAAATTGTGACACATTCTTAGACATAAATAAGGAACAGCTGTAAAGGCAGAATCTCTCATGCGCAAGTTTATCAGTGCTATCCATAGAAATGTTTGTTTTTAATGTTATTTTTGAAATTTGAACCACAATGGTTCTAGTAAAGGCAAACATATCGCATATTCTAAACGATAGGTGTGCGCATGGGTAATGCTTTCTTAGTTGTAGATATTTTCATGAAATTTTAACCACAGACGCTTTTAGCAAAGGCCAGCATATCGAATATTGTAAAAATCAGATGTGCGCATGCGCAAACTGCACAATGCCAACGTTCTTATTTACACTTTTTTTTTAATTTTAACCACAAATGCTTCTAGTAGCAAAAACATAACGGATACAGCTATGGCCTTTTGGAAAGTATTGATTGATCAATACATGGAAAATGCACTGAAGTTCTCGCCTTTGGGTGCAACACCTTTATTTTTTTTATTTTAAGACGGATATTTGTAAAATTTTAACAAAAGTTGTTACTTAATGTAGAAGAAAATTGAACATATACTTAAAAACAGCTTTGTTGCGGGCGCCTTTGTAAAGATCATTGCGAACACTCCCTACATATAAATTGCCACCTATTGAAATTTCTGTTAAATTATCTCGCTATGATTACACTACAAATCATCTAGTGTCCCTCCTGTACAGGGGCATCTGTAACTTCATCAGGGGCAACGAACGATCAAAACTAAAAGTATACATGTTTCTTTCTAGGTAATTAGGTTCCTATTTAATCCTGATATACACATGAAGTAATTGTAATTGCAAATATACTTAGGTATTGTTTTTTGTTGATAAAGCAAATATCAGAATGGCACTTTGCCAACGAGAAAAAATAGATAGGTATTATTCAATATGGACATTTATGTTAATACAGGGTATTCTCGCCAGTAGCGCCACTAAATCAGTTATGAAATTGTTAACATTGTTCCCGAGAATGCCTCGCTATGATTATATAGTACCCAATTTTTTCCACAAGCTTCGAATCTGTCCCATTTAAAAAGATTCTGACAAAATCGCTCAAGAGGACGAGACCAAATATATTGCTACAAATAAATTAATTGAAGTTCATCAATATTAACGCTTGAACTATTAATTTATTTTACGTTATTATTTACAATGGTATAATATGCACATACACTTATGTATATGGAAGTATTTTTTTTTTATTTATATAAAACACATTTTATAAAATATATACGTATATCGACAATATGATGTGAATCATAAAAAGTCCATGTCTAACGCATTATACAATGCAGCAATTTCACTGTGACTGGTTATTCTCCAAAAAGGAAAATTTAAAGCTTTTGCAGCCGCCTCATCATCTTGACTGTCGCCGATCACCACATATGTGCACTTCCTCCCAAATCTTGCAACCACTCTTTCAAAACAGCTCTCCTTACCTAAAAGGTTTGAAATATTTAAAAAACGCCTAATTCTTAGATGTACAAACCTATTTTGGTAGCAGAGTAAATGTTGTCTATGGAAAAAACTCCTCCTAAACCGAATAACAAAACTTTGGCAAGTGTTGGGATTAACTGCGTTGTTGTTACTAACACATTAACACAATTACTCCTCGAATTAATTAACGTTAAACATTTATTTGCTAATGTGAGCCAATTGTCTGTAATACTTTCTATTTCTGCCCTCAGCTGTAACCATTGCTCCCTCTTAGTCGGACCCAAAAGTCCTCCAACACTATAACCACAGTGATGAAGTACAAGTGCAACCATTCACAGTCAGCTTACCTGTTCCGATAGTTATTGAAAGTCTCCTTAATTTTCCGATACCTAAATGCAAGTTTACGCATCCAATCCACACCACCCCGCACCCCAGATCCTAAACATAAATTGCCACTACCCGCCGCAGCTGCATGAAAACCATCTGTGCCGAAATTGTAATTTGTTAGATCTTGTCCATTATCGTCGGACGAGACATCATCAATATGAACTTGGTCGCAGTCCTATAAATAATAGTAATTAGTTTATGGTGTGGATGGTCCTTCAAATGAGCATCTATCCCTAGCAAGCAAAAATAGTTCATAATTTGTTGCCCATTTGTTACAGTGTGACCTTTTGTGGATAGCTGAAAAATTGTTGATGGTACAAATTAGCCACAAGTAGGTAACAAATTATGAAATATCTTTGGTGACTGTGTGTTACTTACTTCAATGTCGTTAAAGAAAAAATGAGTATCAGCCATGTTAAAGACCATTTCTTCCATTCTGAAGCCTAATTGTACTACATTTTGAGCATCCTGCAAAGAGCACACATTAATCCTTCACACCAATCCCTCTCAACTCACCTTTTGATATTTTGCCGCGTAACTACCGGTAAGTAAAGTATGAAATATTATAATAGTTTCGTCTAAGTCCCAAATAAAGACACGTTCAGTACTAGTTTCAGGTACGGTAGGTGATACATTGTTCGTGCGTCTTCCTCTACCCCTTGCGCCCCTCGATTCCGCACTTGTACTACTCGAGGAATCCCTGGAGCGTCTCGAACTTTCTAATTTGATTGAGGATGTTGTACCATCTGCTAAAATAATACCGTTCGATGGACAGTCTATAAAATTGTTTAGTATACATTTTTGAAAAAATACATTATATACCATCAATTTCAGAATCAGAATCGCTTGTATCACTATAAGAACATAATACTACATTCATATTCATTATTTAGAAGAAAATATTTTGGAAAAAAAGGTGAGGTTAGAGTGACTCGCCGCCATAGGCGGAGGTAAGAGAAACTAAGTTGGGTGGAAGGTACTAAAAATGTTCCATAAGCACGTCACTCACAAACTCTCTTGTGTTACATTTTCCAAGATTCACTGGCACCTGTTCCAAATCTACTTAAAATACGTACTTCAAATAGAAAATGGCATTTCTTATTTCGTTTTCTAACTATAGTAAATAGTGTCTATTGACTATTTCACCTCTCCTGTGAGGAATTGATTCTGCAATTACCATTATAGAAAAGTCTTTAGGATGAAGCTCCAGACAGAACATAAAAAGTACTTGAAAGGCGTTTTCCCGATTTTTTAAAAATTTTCCGGAGCAATCTGTGGCTCCCCAAATCATTCCATCACCTAATTAGAGCATTGCAGGCCCTTAGGAAAGTTTGACAGGGCCTTGTCTAGCGATTTTAACTTTTCCTTTAGAATTTAGGGAGTTTTTCGCACCTTTCTCCGCGTGCTAAAACGGTTGTTGGAAAGCTCTGGAAAGTGCATAGAAACTTCTCCATGGTTCTAGGGAACGCGTCTCTGGAATGCGCCAAAAAATGTTTTCCAGATCAATCAAAGGTTCTTAAAATCCCCGAAGCGTTTGTCATAGTTTTATAACGCATTTCCATTCAATTATCCCCCCCAGAGCTGCATATGCCATTCTAGATCCTTCAAGGCCTTCAGAAAAAATGTAAATAGCTTTGAAAATGGCCATACAAATTATTTTAAAAACTTTCTATATACTACAGATCCTTTCCAGCTACAACTTTTCAGACCCTTAATACGCGCTTACCCGCTTTTCTGGCACGCTTAGCTCTGAAAATAGCTTAGCAAGGATCAATGAGCCCATGAAAAATACTTTCCGTGCAATTAAAGGTTCTTCCTTGCTTCTCTAGACGCTTTGCAATTTATTAGATATCTACTAGGGCTATGTAATCCTACGTTTCATAATTCATTTTTCATTATACCTCTCCGAAAGTACTGTCTTTTCATGTATCCCAAGCGCACCGAAAGTAGGGTTTTCCCGTGCGAGCGCACTGGAAAACTTTTTCCCGTGCGCTACGAATAATCAAGTTTGCCATAGCATCCCTATCCCATGCGTTGCCATGCATACCGCGGCTTTATTTTGACATATATCTCAACCGATTTTTTCCATTGTGTTAAAAATGGATTTTGGTGAAGTCGAAATTCCCGCTAATATATTAAGAGAAGCTGCAGAAACCAGTTCCCAACTATTACCAGCGAAATCAAAAGAGAGATGCGAAAAGAGATATGAAAAATTTCATAACTGGTGCGTTGAAAAAATCGTGAAAAGAGTAGGTACGTTTTGGAGTAGGTTTTCAATGATTAAGAATATTCTTACGGTAAAAGAAAATGAAAACGCCAGCAAATTGTGCAAAACCATCGACTTTTTGAAGCGTCAGACCCTCTGCTACATCCCAAAAAAATCAAAAGTTCTGTACAAGGGAGCAATTTTTGAATGAAGCTGCAGAGATAAAATGGTTATTACCTACTTACTAAGGTTATTTTAGTATTCGGAAATTTGGAGCAAGATGCAGAGGAGACGATACAATTCGCTCGACTATTGATGATGTGTTGAAGATAATCGGGGGTTTAAGGGTGATAAGACAAGCAACAGAATTTGTTGTCAAATTGGATGTGGACTTCAATGTAAATAATCATTCTTCGTTATTTTCGGAGAGATATAATGAAAAATATCGTTCATTACACGTCCAGAAAGGCTTTTCCCGTGTTTGCATGCCTCCCCGTGTTCGGCTTCGCCTCACACGGGAAACGTCATACGCCCACGGGAAAATCTTCCTTTCTGGACTGGTAATGAAATATACTATTACATCATTGTGAATATATAGGGCCAATCGTAACGTGCATGCAATTGAGAGTGCATTTTAGAACATTTTCAAGAATCTTTTAACTCTTTCCAGAGTCTTCTAACACTTTTTATACCTTCTACTATGGTCTATCGTTCCTGAACGTCTTGGCCAATTTTCCGAGCTTTGTATATAGGCGCTCTACAGAGCTTTATAATACCATTCCACAGAACATACTCCCTCCCATAGTATATAGGTCTTTGTAGTCCTTACATTTCTAGACCCACCTACGCTCTTGCCAGAATGCTATAATGTCTTTTCAGAGGTTTGTAAAGATGCAAAGCACAGGAGAGTTTCTAATCACAGAGTCTTCGCAAGTATTCCAGAACAATCAAAGCCGATTTTAAGGCACTTTTCCACATGTTTGTCCCTGTTAGAATTACCCTTTGGGCCATGTCAGAACTTTTTTAAACAGCTCCAGCGCATTTTTAGTGCATTCTCCTGCTCAGAGTGTATAGTAGATCCTGTTCAGCTAGAGTTCGGTTCCTTCACAGGAACGTTTTTAGAAATTGTATAGTGAGGATAAGGGATTCATGGAAAGTGCATAGAAGGATAATGGGAGCTTTTCAGAGCATAGCTTTGTAGGGCTTATCAACGTTTTTATGTTTCTATTAGGGCCATCTAAACCATACCCTACATACGTTTGACAGTGCATTCTATGAGTGTCAAGAACTTTTTTCAAGAGCACTCTTAGCAATTTTTATATCTTTCGACCACTTTTTTTTTAAATTCAGTAGCAAACAAAATATGTCTTAATTTATTGTTCCTGAACGTCTTAGAAAATGTCCAAAACTTTATAATAGGAGCTTTAGAGAGCTTTATAGTAACATTCCAAAGAATATACTATCTCATATATTTAATTTTTTTGTCAATATCACAAATAGACCAAACAGTTATTGATGATATTGGTTTGTTTGTTCCGTAATTTATACAAATTTTTAACTATCCCAGTGAATAAAATGATGTCGGCACAATCTGAATACCGCAAAAAACAAGAATTGGAATATTAAAACTACTTAGTACTGGATCTCGTAACAAAATCTTTTCTTTTGGTACGTCTGCATATAAGTATGTTCACATCAAATTGGAAAATAGCCATTACAATAACCCAACCGCAATTATTTTGTACGTGATAATTTTTCTGAACTAAGAATTGATGGTACAAAGTATACACTGCTACTGTACCTGGCAGTGATGTGGCCGCTAATTGATACGTAGAAACTCCTATACCTCCATTTGAATTTGGCGAACTAACGTAAGGTGAATAACTTTGGGAAGCGTAATATCCTGGCGTGGAATATGCTTGTGATTCTGGATATGTTGAACCGTATGTGCTGTAATCTATGCCCTAAGATGAAGATTATCAATTTTATCCGCTGCGCATCGTACGATTTTTACTTGCCTGCGCAGAGAAACCTTGTGCAAATGAAGTTCCAGGTGTATTATAACCTGAATATGGTGAATATTGGCCACTTTGTGAATGGCCAGCTGATTGGAATGGCGACGCAGGTGATGAGTAAGGTGATGATAAATATCCCGCGCTCGATTTGCATACTTGGTTTATACTTCTCGCAGAGCTCAATGAGGAATACGGGTAGGAGGATGTGTTGTAGAAGTTTGATGAGGTCATATAACTTGCGGCTGATGCGTTCGATGTGCCATAAGCTTGTTGCATGCTAAAACTGCTGTTAGATATATCTTGAAAAACTGACAGAAACTAAGTACCAAAAATCCACAATAAAACTGAAGGATTTGGGGAAGCGAAAACATTTATTTATTCTCTTGGGCCATTTGCTGATTGCGACAGCTTTGCTTTGAAAACACGTTCAGAGTCATTGCGGTTTTTTGATGTTTTTGATCCAATTTCAAAACTCACCTATTATAATACTGATGTGCAGGTGTAATTGTTGTGTAAGCTTGGGGATAATCTTTATCATAACTTCCTAAATCGACTGCCGATCCATATAACCCGCTAGGATCTTGAGAAAGTGACGTTACTTCAGTATCGGCTAACCCGGGGCTGCGTACTTCACTCTTAACACCTGTTGCATCTGCCAGGATGGACCAAGATGAAGGCAGGTGAGAAGATGTTGCGCAAGACGAAGCCAAAGAAGTCGAAGAATCTGTTCCTTGGGTTGCCGTCGACGCTGTTGCAGGTGGGGAACCGCAAGTTGACGACGAATGTCCGCTTTGGGGACTACACGCTGTATCACCAACCAGTCTGAAATTAAAATGTTTGCTTAAGTAACATAATTACATCTTGCTACGGCTAGGTGCCATGTGAAGTCAAGTTTTACTAAAATTTCTAAATTTCGGTCTCAAACTGTCGAATTATAATAGGTGCTAAGGCTGAAACCCCGCCCACGTAAAAATAAAGACCAAAATAAATAAAAAGTTATTACCAAATTCTCAAATTTCACATATCTACACCTTTGAGTTTTTGGTGCTAATAATCATCGAGTTTAGAAAGTGTTTGGAAGAACACGTATTGCGGTGACTTTGCATTGCAATTGAAACCGATAAATAATTACGCAGTGAGTCATACACAAAATACTTAATCCAGATTAATTTCCCTTCCCTTCTCTTCTTAGGGTTACTGTGTCTCGTGACAACCCATTCACCACCGATTCCGGTTTCAAAGACGTTTGTCTTTTGGATTATTCGATTCCACATTCATTTTGCAGATGATTTTGCGACAACCCCCTTTTGAGACTCAATATTAAGATTTCCTTGGATTTGCGTGTGTCGCTTTGACTTCGCAAGGTGTCCTCACAACGGGAAAGTTAGTGGCGAACCGTGTAATCGGGAAGACGACCTTCAACATTCAGAAAGCTCAAGCCGCTGTACATAAATCTAGGTGTCTAAAATCTCAATTTAAGCTCCTCGCCAATTACTCGAAACAACTTTATATCCAGTACACTGGTCTAGTGAAACCTTTCAACCGCGAGAAAACGAAAGAAGGATCCCTACATCCTGCTCCCAATGCATTTATTGGTTAATTTCGTTTTATCCTCCGTAGGCCATGTTATCATTTTCACAGTAGCCAAATTTCGTAAACGGTAGACGAACACGTTTATTCATTTACAATCCAGTTCTTAGCGATCACCCTTCAACTTCTGAAATTAGTTTTACGTCGAAATTTCTTCAAGTTCACCTTAAGCTGCTATCAAATTCTTACCAAGTTCTTCTCAAGTTTCTCTACAGTTTTGCATAAATTCTCTTCTTTTTCCCCACGACTTCTTATCAACACCTCTCAAATTTCGTCTGGAGGTTCTACGAAAATTCTCATGTGTTCCTTAAGTTCAAGTCCTTAAAAGTTCCTCCAATAAGTACTTGTCAAGTTCTCAAATGTCCATATTACTCTCAAGCTTTGCTCAATTTCTTAAGTGTCCCTTAAATTCCTCTAAAAGTTCATTTCACGTTCAGCTCAAAATTCTCCTCAATTCTCCTCCTAAGCAAGACGAAGGCGTAGAAGGGCCACACAAACAAAACAAATTTTATGATTTCATTGTTGCAATTTCAGCCAACAAATTGTAGATTACGATCTACAATTGTAGATTATGATCTATACTTGGAGAGAACTCGACTCAATGACAATAGCACATTAATGTATGTACAATGCTTAATTTAATACACAATTGTAAATCGGAATCTACAATTGTAAACCGTAAGAAGCTCATTTAATTTATTAGTTCCTATAACAATTTCCGCAAGTTCTCTTTTCCTAGAAACTGGCCATTTAAGAAACCAAAATAAAACTAAAACACTAAGAAACCGCAATAATTACTTAAAAATCGTACCCGCTTCAACAAAAAAGAGCAGCAATAATCAGCGAATCAAAAGGTTGTAATGACACTTTTGCTGTTGAAAAGATTACCATTTATTAAATTATTTTTTCCAAATACGAATTCGTTTTTTATTGAATTTAATCCCTAATTTTTGTGCATTAAGGGATTAAAAAAAATTTAATCCCTCATTTTTTTTTTCTTGTAAAACATTCAGTATTCATTTTCTTTATTTTCAGAACAGGTAATATGAAAAGCACAATTTATAAAGGGCCTTAGTGTACATCCAGCTCTTCCTCTTCCTATGTAATGCCAAATAACTAAGTTCTTCTCCGCTTCAACAATGGTAAAAACTCCTCACTTTTAGTGTTTGTGTCTGGAATACTAACTACCAGCATCGATTCTCCATCTTCTATGTCTCTTTCCTTTTTCTTTCTTTTTTCTTCATTTTGTGACATGTCCTAATACAATATTATATTGTTAACAGGAAACAATAAAAGTTATGAAGTTAGGTAGTCTACGTTCATTTTTAACAATTCCTCTGATCTGCAAGCTGCAACTTCCTTCAATATCCACAATTGTCACAATCTACAACCACAAACTTTGGAAGCATGAGCATGCAATGTTTTACACAAACTAACCTTTATCAGAAAATGACATCTTAGGGGATGAAAGAAGCGCCGTCATATGCTTCGTCACTTTCGTCTTCAGTATTTGTAGAAGGGTTACATTACAACAGTTACAAACAAGCGAGCGTAACTATAACACCCTAAAAAGCCTACCTTATACTTTTTCACAGTTTTTATAGCATATTAATTTTCAAATGGATTCAGATCGGTCGGTATTGGAAAAATAGTATAAGTAACACTGGATTAAACTTGTTTTTGTTCCCTCAAGAATTTTAAAGCCCTCGGCAAGCCTCGGGCTTTAAACCATTCTTTCGGAAACAAAACCTCTTTTTAATCCCTTGTTACTTAATATACTGTTTTCGGTTGTTAGTGATTTCCTTCCTTCAGGTTCTCCTTTTCTCAATTTCCTCATAAGCCTCTCCCAAAACCCCAAAGTTCGTTTAAAGCTTACTTCTCGGTTCCATCATCTTCTCAGGTTCCTCTCGAGTTTTCTTAAAATTCTTCTCCATTTCAGGCTCTATTCAAATTACAATATTTATTCAAGTTTCCATCAATCACAAACGTTTCTGTTTAACTGACTTATTTCTGTAAAACAGACCTATTTTCGTCCACAAACAGAAGTCGAATGACCTTAAACTTGGCGCATACCGGCCTTCCTTATTCGCGATTCATATTAACACTAGAAGCACCGGTGTAATTTACAAATGGAGTGTAGAGGTTTGTAAACATTGGGCCCTTCTTGCAGATTTGTAAGTGGAATTGTACTATTTGTAAGTGAATTAGGTTTATGCTTTAAGACTTGAAAATATAACCCCTTAATCCTATCTTACCTGAAAAGACATTTACTGAAGACCTCGAATCTGTCTTGAATTGGCTTAAACACGCTATTAACTTAATCTTCTAATTTCAAATAAATATCACAATTTATCATTCAATTTCTAGCGCACGCGTACAACTTTACAACAACTCACCGACATTCCCTTACGTCGATTATGCTTTAAAACATTTTAAAACGTGATAAAATATGACGTTTTTTAATATCCTTGCTCTTTAAAGTGTAATTACATTGATAGCAAATGAAATTTTTGCAAGTGCCGTAAAAACTACCATAATGATTACGTTTGGTGATTGTAAATAAACAAAATGGCGGCCTTATATCACCAATGGTAATTACAATATGCTGCCACCAGAGATCTCACTGTTAATATGTGGATTGCGAATCTGTATTAAACCGCACGAACTGGTAAAAGCTCTTAAAGACGAAACAAATGCTGGTATATGGGTATTTCTGCACATCAAAATAACAAAACTCACTAATTCGAACTTAATATAGCTGCTTAAAAACAGTCGACGAAAAAACGAAAATGTTGGGACGAGGAACTCCTAACAGAAACATTTTGAACCTTTTGTTTATTTGCAAAAAAATGCTTGTTTTGCACCTTCACACACCTTTTTTTTAAATACGTACTTGATACACTTGCAATGCTTAACTTTTTACGTGTGGGTGAGAAGTACTTGTGCGAATTTACAATTTATATAATCATTTTTTGTAGTGTTATAGGAACATAGGATATTTCCTTTGTGCACCGTTTTTCGGACAATAGATAATCAATTAATTTTTTATTTAATTGCCTCCTCGTTCCACTCTCAAGGGGGCGCTGTTCTGCTCTGTTAGGCTAAATTTCCCAGTCCGCCACTGAAAAATGATCCTTCGATGTCATTTCGATAGGCGTCATGTTATGTCGACATTTTCCTGTTCTTCATAGGCCCATTTTATGATAGTCGGCACTTTGTTATTCAGATTGTTTTGCCATACAGTCGTACCCGAGGTTTTACCATAAAAGACGAGAGATCCATACATCGCCAATCTTACCTACTGTTTTTTTTTGTTCGTATGTGGAATTTTGTCTTTATATTTCTTCAATTTTTATGGTGTTTGCTTCATTTTCTATGACATTTGTTGAGTGCATTGCATTTGCAAAAACGAGGAAATAATGCAGATTTCTTATATTTCTTCAATTTTTTATTCTCTACCATTCCAGCATGCAATAGTCAATAACGAGGGGACATTTTTATGTAATGTGGAACAGCTTCAGCATTTATAAGTGTCCTGAGTAAGTGGTGCACAAATTGCAAAATGTTTGTAAATTTTGGTAGCGTTGAAAAATACGTGATATAAAACATGAAGCATGAAGGATACAGGCCCAAAAATGGACCACGAACAAATGTTTGCTGTGTATGGAATCCTCAATAAATATAATCAAGTAAAATTCTGAACGAAACATTTTTTGTTGGGGTCGCGAACCCAATACAGAGTGCACACTGCACATAAGGTTCATACAGTTCCAACAAGTTATCGATGAATGTGGCTTCCATGACATCCGCCCTATAGTAGACATTTAGCACCCTGCGCCTACCACCTTTTTCACCAAGTAGAAAAAGCAGTTACTAGACCAAACATTTGCTTCTGATCCTGACTTGAAAATTGCTGTTAGTGATCATTGTAAAAAGCTACCAAAAGAGTGTTTATTAGCTTATTGCAGAAATTGCGGAAGAATGGTCGGGTACACAAATGATGAATAAGATTAATTATTGGTTAAAAATATTAGAATGTTAGCCACCATTGATTATAAGGTAAGAGATTTACCATTCTAATATGCTTAATTAACCTTAATCATCGTTTGTGAAACCCGGCATAAATGTGTAGAGGTTGAAGATACATTATGTAAAAAGCTTGTGTTTCCGTAAATTACTAATTATTTAAACTAAAATACATATTTGCATATCAGAACACTACATCCCCAATT